GTGTTCTTCACGATGCTGGATTGCTGAATTTCTGCACTGATATCTGTGATTGGAATGAAGAAGCCATTCTTCAATTCTATGCAACGCTACACATCACAGGAAATTCTGAAGATGTGAACTCATGGGTGCTGGACTGGATATCTGAAAATACTCACTACAAGGCACCGGCTACTGAATTGCTTCGTGCCCTCCCACTCAATCCTCCCCTTGATGGTGCTCGTTGCATCTACAGTGAACTTGAGCTTTCAAATCATCACATGCAAGTGCTGATGAAGCCTTTGAAGCCAGGGCAGGTCCCTCGAACGAAATTCCTAGTCAAGGAATTACTATATGTGCCTCGGACTGTCTATCACATTCTGACGAAGACAATGAGTCCTATCAAAGGCCACGACTCAAATGATGAAGAAGTCGTTGGCATCATGAAGAATATGCTTTTCAATATCATTCATGGCGTTCCCGTCAACTTTCATGATTTCTTCATGAGGACTCTGGCAAATATTGCTATGTCACCATTTGAGCTGAAGCCTTATGCACCATGGATTATGAGATTCATCACGACAAGGTCTTCACTCAATTACAAGGCTGATACTCTGAACCATGGCAGCTACTTGCCTCCAATTGAAGTCCTCAAACGGACATCTTCCTCAGCTGATGACAAAGGCAAGGCAACTGCTGTGATAGATGAAGGCATTCGTCCATTGAATGGTCAATTTCGCAAGGCTGCATCCTACTCCACCAATGATGACTCTACCACACATGACTCTGCCGCCAACACCTCTGCCAAGCAAGTTCCTCAAGCCACAACACCCAGGGTGATGACTGATCGTGAGTTACTCCTCAGTCTTCATCAGAAAGTTGATCGCAATCATAAATGGGTCAAGCATCAGTTTGGTGGAATTCTTCACAACATGACCTCAACACACAATGCAGTGAAGAAAAACCACTACTACCTCCATGAAACCTTCAATCGTACCTAGGATGTTCTATCTCATGTCTACAGCGCTGCAGATCTGAAGAATATGGGTCTCAAGGAAGAATTTGACTGGTCTGCACCTCCACCGAAGAAATTCAAGAAGGTCAAAGTTCCTTCTTTGGTGGCCAGCTCCTATTCTTCATCGCGCGACACTGATGACAATGAAGACTTGGACGACACTGCGCCAGGCCCTACTACGACAACCGACCCCAAAAACGCTGGCGCTCCTCCATCAACTTGATATTCTTCAGGGGCATTAGTCCACAGTTTCGACCCTTTTGGTCATTCCATGACAAAGGGGGAGAAATTTGAGTTAGTCTTCAAGCGGGTCTATTATATGGGCGTTTTTTGCTAAGTTACAACTCTCGTTCTTCTGAAACTTTATTGGATCGAGTTGTAAACTTAAACCCGATGGTGCTCTGATACTTTTGATGTATTGTGCTTTGATACTCTTGATACGTTATTATGCATTCTTGTTCCTCATTAACATTATTGCACGCATGCTGAATTTCATCAGGCACCATATTTCATCATGCATTTCAAATTCTCCATATTATATGTCAAATGCGTGTATAAATTACAAGATATAGGGGGAGATCTCCATGATTTAACTCTTCAAGTGTGCATTGCTTCAAAAGCAAATTCCTCACTATGCACATCTTCGGGGGAGTTCTTCTATATCTTGCAATCAAATTCCTCAATATCAGTACTTACACTTCATATGTTTATCCCCGTTGAAAACTTAACCTATATTGTCATCAATCACCAAAAAGGGGGAGATTGTAAGTGCATCTAGTGCCCCTTAGTGATTTTGGTGTATTGAAGACTTATAGGTTAAGGGACTAATGCGTTTGTGAGTGTACACATGTCTATAAGTCTATGAGGAGTTTAATATTTACAGAGAAAGTCGACCCCTAAAAACAAATATCTTCGACTGAAGATTTTGGTATTCCTGAAGACTTTCATGAAGACTTTGAGAGTGAAGAAATTGGTGTGTCCGTGAAGACTTGATATTCATGCGAGGAATATGAAGCTTGAAGACTTTCGTTTACATAGTTTTGTTTTTCCTTTTCTTGAGTCATAGGAAACACCGTAATGTTAAAGGGGGTCGAGAAAATACTAAGGAAAAATTTCCATGTGATGCTCAACTCAAAATCCTACACCTACCAATCCCTTCGAGTGAAGCCTTTGGAAATCTCGTACAGTTCAGTCAATTTCTTCAGTGACAGAGGCGAAGTTATTCTGGTCGCTGAGGAATTTGTTCTGACTGAGGAGTTAGGAATTCGCCAGTGCGGATTGCCTACACTGTGAGGAACATGATAGCCCTGAGGAATTTGAGAGTCAAATTTCCGACCGTTGCTATGTTGCGCGCCAGCTGTCCCAAAATATCTTATCCACCTAACGGTCATATCAGACAAGGGCATTTATGTCTTATCATGTCGGGTTGCTCCCTAGGCTATAAATAGCCGCCCCCTACAACCACTAGCTGGTTGGCTGCTCCGAGAGAAACTGACACTTGTAATTTGAGAGCAACCCATCCTCCGAGGACTTTAAGCGAAAATCATCAAGTGAGGAAAAACCCAAACCCAAACACCTACAAACCCAAAGTGATTGAGCATCACTGAAGAGATTGATCCTGCATGGATCCGACGCTTGTTACCTTTGAAGACTGTGCTTCTTCCAGACGGTTAGGCGTCATGGTCTAGAGCATCCAAGAGGAATTGTGGATTGCCGAGTGACCGAGTCTGTGAAGGTTTGGATGTCGCCTGAAGACTTACCACGAGTGATTGGACGAGGTCTGTGTGACCTTAGTTCAAGGAGAATACGGTGAGGACTTGGTGTCCTGAGCTGCGTGCTCAGCGACTGGGTGTCCGGGACTGTGTGTCCTCGAGTTTAAATACTCAGCCGCTCCAACCAGACGTACAACTGAGACAACAGTTGGAACTGGTCTACCAAATCATTGTCTTCACCAATCTTACTGGTTTTATTTCCTCAACTCTTTCATTTCCTCATTACTGTGTTGAGTGATTGTTCATATCTGTGTTTGAAGACTTTGACTGAAGACTTTCTCAATTTCCTCAGTTCAGTTTCTTCAGTCTGTTTGTCTTCATCTTGTGTTATCCTATGTTTACCCTTTCTGTACTCTGTACTTGTCTTCATTTCATCATGATAACTATGTCTATATCCTGTTATGCTTACTTCTGAGTACTTATTTCGCTGCTAGTAGTTCTTCGCTAAGGAATTTCCTCACCGGCAAATTCCTCAGTGAAGAATTCACAAAAATCGCCTATTCAACCCTCCCCCCTCTAGTCGATATAACGCACTTTCAGTGGAAATGGAAGTAGACGCACTAAAGGGAAGACGAACGTGCTTGCCTAAGTGACAAGCCTCACAAGAGTGCTCGTCGAGCTTATTACATGCGAAAGAGAAACTCCTAAGAATTTGACGTAAAACGGTGGGGTTGGGGTGGCCCAAGCGAGCATGCCAAAGGTCAACGCCGACGGCAAGGGCGACGGGTGTGGAGGTGGAGGCGCCGGTGTGCACGGGTTGGAGCTCATCAGGACTGTCACATCGGTGAAGGATCATCCGGGTACGGGCGTCTTTCATAGAAAAGCCAACACCGTCAAATTCAACAGTAAGTGGGTTCTCACAAGTAAGACGACGAACGGAAACTAGGTTCGTGACTATTTCAGGTGAAACAAGAACATTAGACATAGTAATGGGTGTGGAAGTGGAGGAAAAACTAGTGCTACCGATATGAGTAATATGTAAGGAGGAGCCGTTGCCGACGGTGATACCAGTGGGTGTGCGGGCAGGAGTGGAGGAGGTTAGGTTACCGGGATGAGTTGTCATGTGTGCAGTAGCACCTGAGTCCATGTACCAGTCGCCTCCACCGACATAGCTACTCGACGACGGTGCGGAGTGCTGGGCGGCGAGGAGGGTGGGATCCCATGGCACAGGTACCGGCGGCAGCGGGATGCCCTCGTAGAGCGGCGCGGGGACGGGTGGACCATAATCACCGAGGTATGGAGGCGCAAGGAGGGCGCCGTAGCTAGCGCCAGTCGGCTGGTAAGGTGCACCGATGAACGCCGGGTGGCCTGCT